GGTTGGGCTGCAACTGCTGAGATCCCCAGCCGGCGTTGGCCAATTCAAGGCGTGGAAACTGCCACAGGGCTGGGGTAGCAAGTCTTCTTCGCCCACCCAGTCCCACGCGGGGATGGTGGCTCTGCAGGCCGTTGTCGCCCTGGGGAAAAGTCGTCCTTGGATGCCCAGAGAGGGGCCGTGAGGACTTCCACACGCTGGAGCATCTTTCTGCCCTGGCTGTGGTCTACGAAGTCCACCAGATGTGGGCTGCAAAAATCCAGAGCTGGTAGCCGCGAATTGGATGCCGAGGGGGGATGTTCAGAGCTGTCCATCCCTGAAGGCGTTCCTGAGGTTCCTTAAAAACAAGGAGCTTTTTCCATCTGCAGAGTCTTCAAAAGATGAATAGACCTGGAGGAGGAGGCAAGAGCCATGGGGATATGCCCCATGTTTGTCTTCCTCCCCGAGGAGAGCTCCAGCCACACCTGCACCAAGTCATAAACTCATTGCTGGAGGAGAAAGCGGAGGGGCTGGAGGCTGCACTGAGAAGACATATCTGGGAAGACCACGCGTTTCTGGAGGGACAAGGCAGAAGGAGGTCTCAAGAAACGAGGAGAAAAGCTGGCAGCATGTAATGTGGAGAGCCAAGAGAGCCAGGATTTGGTCCCCGTTGGTCAAGCTTCACAATCACTTTCAGGCACTCTGCCTGGAGGAAGACTCGCAGACTTCATCCCGCATCCCAGGATCAGGATAGAGCAGGGTTTCTAAACCTTGGCAGCTTTAAGATGGGTGGACTTCAACTCCCGGTATTCCCCAGCCAGCATGGTTGCCACAATACAAAAGGGAAGGTGAGAAACTAGAAAGAATGTAGAGAAGAGCAACAAAGATGGTGAGGGGCTTGGAGGCTACATCCTACAAACAGACATTAGAGGAACTGTGTGGTTAGCCTAAAGAAGAGAAGGCAGAGGGGAGATATGTCAGCAGTCTTCCAATCCTTGATGGCCTGTCCCAGGGAAGAAAGTGTAGATTTATTCTCCATGGTTCCTGAGGGTAGGACAAGAACAAATGGGTGAAAGTTTACAGAGAGAGATCCAAACTTGAAATAAGGAGACATTTTCTGACTGTGAGAGCTCTGAAGCAGTGGGCAGCCTGCCTCCTGAAGCTGTGGGTGCTCCGTCATTGGAAGTTTTCAAGAAAAGACTGGACAGACTTTTGGGATAATAAGAGGATTCTTGCACTGGGCAGAGAGCTGGCCTCGAAGACCTTCAAGCCTCCTCCCAACCCTGGGACTCTATGATTCACCAGTTCTGCTAAAAATTAGTCCAACACAGATGCAGCAGAAGCACCCTCTATAAAACTTTCAGCCTCCAAAGAAATTTAATGCACCAAATGTGTTGGATTTTGGCTCTCACAATTCCCAGCCTGCAAGACCAAGAGACTTTATAATGTTCAACAGGAGCTGGTCTCCACATGGCTGGCTTCACGCCTCACGCGAAGCCACAATTTTTGACTGGCCTGTTGACAAAATCACAGTGGCTGGGGTCACATGCAAATAAACCATGATGTGGTTTGGTGCAACAAGACAATGGAAAATTCTCAGACAAGGGAGCTCAGTGAATGGGGAAAATAATAAAATTAATTCCCCACATCTCTCTGTCACCTTATTTTGATTACTTGCATTCATCTCTAACCAAAAAAGCCTTCCTGGGTCACTGTTCCAGCTGTTGTGGCCAAAACCTGGCTCGCCTGAAGCAACCAAATCAATTTGAAAATACAGTACAACATAAATTGATTGGCATGCCTACAGATGCAGTGTACACTGGGCTCCCAGCAGAGCACTGGCACTTTGCTACAGCTGCTATACTTTTGGCCTACTACATTTCAAAGACAACACCAGGAAAAAGGCAGAGACGGTGTAAATTACAGCATAATGTTGGAATGTTTTGCATAAACCCATCTGGGTGACCTTCTCATTGATCCCTGCTTGCTAGGTCAGCCTGGCAGCTATAGCATCCCTGAGACATGGCCTGTGAGCACGAACAATTTGGTGTTCTGGGCCACCGGCTCCTGATTCTTCCTCCTGTCGCCGCTCAGGGCTGTTTCAGCTTGTGGTGAACGTTTTCACAAGGGCAGTTTAAGCCGTTCACACGTATAATCTCATAGGTTCGGTGGTGTATGAGGGTACCTTTTACCGTCACGCAGGGGAGGCTGGATCTTCAATAGCCGGGAGTTGTTCAAGAGCACCCACGTCCCCGTTCCGGTTTAGCTGGTGGGACGGTCCTCTTGTGAAGTGACCAACGTTTGTATTCCAACATCCAGGCCTGGGGTTCTCCTCCCACTGGCTGTTATTCCAGGCCCCTGTCATTTCCTCTGCTATTTCTCCCTCTCAACGCTGCTCATTTATGAGACTTTTCAGCTGCTTTAAAACTAGTTTTGTTCCCCAAGGGAAATGCAAAATACAATACAAGTATTTTAAACCGCTGATCGTTACTTAAATCGACTTGTGTGTGCATGTGTGAGAACTGCAATAACTATGCAATTGAAGTTTTCATACATGGTTTCCTTTTATTGCCGTTTCAATATCAGCTGGCTGCCACGCTGGCACAGACGGCTGCCGCCTTCGCTTGGTAGCCCCCACTGCCGACACACCGCGCGCCGCGCCGCCCTGCTCCGCATCTGCGACCGGGCCACTTTTTCCCATCGCGTAACGCGGTC